CCATTCCAGTAGATTGTATATATAGTAGGCCAATGACCTTTAGTTGATATTAAAGCACCGTTCATTCCTTTCTTCGAAAGGGGGCCCAGCTAGCCGTTTCTAAAAGCAAGTCCGTACTAAATTCAGGAAATGAATAAATAAAAATCGGGCTCCGTCATGGGGACCTATCTATCTTTTTGCAGGTACTTGCCAACTTTCAACTCTGTAGCTGTCGTACTTTAATGGGAAAATGACACATGTGTTTCCAAGTTGCCAAATACATAATGGATGTCATAAATTGATTCTCTATTCCACTTTCGGGTTTGAACACTCCAGAATTTCATAGGTGCGCACGGCTAGTGAACGGAAACCTCACTTGTTTACAATGGCGTCTTAGAAGACGGACTTTCCCTAGATTAGATCTAAACGAAACTAATGAAAAACTGAAAATTAAACTACAGTCCTAATCGTGACTCTCTGCTTTGGGAACCATGTTTTGGGAACCTTCAGCACCACGATTGTTTGACGGTTTGCAGCAACATCTCTGACCTTGAGCACTCACATGACCTTGTGTGCTGCAAGTCATCACGTACGTAGCCCTGGTACAAAGGCTGGGCAATGAGTCGCTTTAGCAAAATCCGGACAATATGTTAGGGCACCACTTCGGAATGAAATGTGTTACGAACCGCTTCGACAAATGGGTTAGAACAACTTCAACCAACGGGTTAGAACCACATCAACAAATGAGTGAACCCACTTCGGCAAACGGGTTAGGAAAGAGAGTTTAAGAGTCTGAATTCGGATAATGTTCATTAAAAACTATCCGGTTATTTCGATAAGTTATCCGGATTTTGCTCACCACTACCCGGTCCGTGAACTTGTCCCCTTAACTGTTGTTATTTTTTTAGGTTAGTTTGAGTAAATTTGTTGTTGTTGTTTTTTTGGGTGTGTTTTTAATAGTTTTTCCGGCACTTGCTACACAGGAAAGTCCTATAAGTGCCATAGAGTAGATAGAGGGCTTACTAGAGAATAACATAGACAGAAAAAAAGTGATAGAGATAAGGACGGTGGATGTTTGATAAGGAAGATGGAGTACAACTGCTGCTGCTGCTGCTGTTGCTACTGCTGCTGC